AACTTCAAAAAGTTTATGCTTATATACCCATTAAACTATTCCAAAAATTAACATTTTTAAAACAACAATATTTGGAATTTATGTTTTACAAGCAGCTTTTTGATATCAAGGTCTGATTTTTATAAAATTAGAACCATAATTCTGAAACAATAAACCATTACTTCGTATCGAAGTATACTTGTATTCAAATCAATTGAAAAACAAGATAGAAAGCAAACTTCGGCAAGACGAAGTTCATATACCCTTGCAGCTATTGTAAGAATTAAATACTTTTGAAAACATTAAAATTATGATTTACTTGCGTGTATGCTGAAAAACATTGGAGCTATGATGATTTGCAGCTCAATTATTAGATAGTTATTTTATATATTTTTATTTTTTCTATGGGAGCTATATGATATGGTCGTCCGATTTTGATGAAATTTAAAACGTAATTCTAAAATATTTAACCATTACTATACGTCGAAGAACTAACAAAAAATTAAAAAACAGCAAAGTTATCATTTTTTTTGTATTTTTTTCCAATTGTTCCTATGGGAGCTATATGCTATAGTCGTCCGATCTGGCTCGTTCCGACTTATATACTACCTGCAATAGAAAGATAACTTTTGGGAAAGTTTCATGCAGATAGCTTTGAAACTGAGAGACTAGTTTGCGTAGAAACGGACGGACAGACGGACATAGCTAGATCGACTCGCCTAGTGATGCTGATCAAGAATATATATACTTTATAGGGTCGGAGATGTCTCCTTCACTGCGTTGCAAACTTCTGACTGAAATTATAATACCCTCTGCAAGGGTATAACAAGCAGCTTTTTGATATCAAGGTCTGATTTTTATAAAATTTGAATCATAACTCTGAAACAATAAACCATTACTTCGTATCGAAGTATACTTGTATTCAAATCAATTGAAAAACAGCCAAATTATAATTTTTCATAAAGGTATTTTCCCGATTGTTCGATGGGAGCTGTATGATATAGTCGTCCGGTCCAACTTGTTTCAACTTCTAGAAACGAGTGGACAAACAATCGGACATGGCTATGTCGACTCTCCTAATGATGCCGTTATGGTCGGGAAATTGTCCATTTGACTTAAAATTTAATAAAAATCATCCAGAAATAACTTCGTTTTTTTTAAGATATTTGCTTACATCTTGCTTACTTTTTTGCAAAGTCCCAGGTTTCAAGTAAGTGAGCTGAAATTAAGATTAGTTCTAAATTTAAATTTAAACTAAAAATTAATATATTACAATTATTTAATAAAAACGTTTCTTCCTTTCACATGAAACAATTTTTTATAGCATTTTCCTCACCAAATCGGAGGTGGATACTTTTAGGAGAAAATTCTTGCCTAAGCAGCGTTGCTTTCGACAACATTCATGAAAAATTTGTTATACACAAAAACTTGACGGATCTCTAGGGCTTTGAACGTAAAAAGTAAACAAAAATCGACTTAAACAATTTTTAAAAATTTATGTTAAGGCTTCGTGATTAGCATTTGACAATAACTATTTAATGACATACATCACTTGTCTGTAGCTCTATTAGTTTAGAAGTCAAAATTAGCGATTTCCTGCAAAATAAGCTAGCTTTTCAAAAAGTCGTAGAAAACACTTTTTTATGTCCACCTGCCCAACACAAACAAATTATTCCAGAATTCTAAAACAAGCCCTTAAAATTTTTTTAAACTGACAATTACGAGGAAAACTTTTGTATTTTTAAAAAATATATCAAACAAAAGTATTTTTGAACAACTTTTGAAAGGAGCATCAGATCCAAGAGAATTTGGTGTCATTCGACGCGAATTTTGAATAAAATAAGGGTAAGGGTAATATATTACCAACCCAAGGTCAAGAGCTCCAATTTAAAAAATTTTTAGTATGTCACTTTCACCGAACTTTCTCCTGAAACAATAAATTTTCCTAAAGTTTTGGGTTGCAATCCTTATTCATTTAGCGATACCTTTCGATTGGTGTATTTCTCGCTACGATCGGACCATCACAGCATATTTTCAATTCTACGGCTATATATAGTAGTCTTCTATGTACACGCTCTTGGCACGCATCGTGACTACATGTACTGTCGCCCAAAGTGCACAGTGGTCGGTTCCATAGGCCATAAATAAGAAATCAAAGTCAAAATTTTGATTTTAAATGTACCAATTCTTATTTATAATTGGTCTTGCTATTTGAATTTATTCATCTTTTTGTTTTGCTCTATCTGTCCTCTTCAAGAATAGCATCGAAAGAGAGAGCATGATATTCATTGGGTATGTCAGCGTAAGCAACGTGCAAGGGAAGCTCTCCTTAAAAAATGTTTTAAGCTTATTAAATACGAGTTTAAGTGCAATGAAAGTGCTTAACATTATAAATAAAGGTATTTACTTCCATTTTACAACAAAAAGTATATTTATGTATGTAGTATGAATTGTGTTTTGAGTAAATCAATATTGTATTTAGTACATAATTGTGAGCTTTCTTGGTTTGTATTTTCTGTGTTTGGTTAAAGTTTTAGTTGTGATGGCATTCTTTGGCACAAACAAATCCTTTTGTATAATATTTTTAAGCATTTAAAGATTATAAGAATGTTTTATTCAAATGCCGAAATTTGCCGAACGGCTTGCAATTATGCGAAATGGTAACCTAACCACAATTTTTATAAAAAGACGTGTTTCTGCTGTTTGTTGTAGTTTGTCCACGTTTGTTGGTTTGTATTGTCGTTTGTTGTTATTTTTGTGTTATGTTTTGTGTTAATATTTTTTTTCATTAAAATAATAGCATATTATTTTCTTGGGACAAAATAGCATATTATTTTCTTGGGAGTGCCACGATTGCGTTTTGTTCTGTGTCGTATCAATAAAATCTATATGATATAGTTGTCCGATTTCAATAATATTAAAACCGAAACTCGGGAATATTAAACTATTACTAAATCTTAAAGAACTAAACAAGAAATACAAAAATCAAAAAAGTCATGATTTTTTTTTCATTTTTTTCCCGATTTTTCGTACGAAAGCTATAGGATATAGGGGTACGATCTGGCCAATTCTTGTCCTATATACTTATAATATTTTTCTAGATTTTTGGTACAAGTTTCAAAGGGATAGACCCTCTAAAAGTATTTATGGCCGCGGCTCCCATACAAGACCGACCACTGTGTAGTGATATTATTTTTATTTGAACCGGAACAATACCGGTACCCGCGACTTGTTTTGGTTGCTGTACCGTAATCGTTTACCGATAGATATGACCGGAACACACACACAGAGTCCAACCCCTACGGTCTAAAATGAATCAGAGTGACAGTATATACTTTCACGATTTATTGGGCGTAAGAGTGGGCGTGACTCAGTTTTGCAGTAAACTTGCGCTGCGAAAACAAACAAACATTCACTGCGTTACAAACTTTTTATGCATTTAAAAGTTCTAGTCTATCTCATTCCGGAGATACCGTTAAAAAAATATATATAACATCCAGTCTTTGGAAAATTAACAGTTTTTTGGATCTAGGTTAGGAACAAGGCATTTGCGAAAATAAGTTCTTAGTATGGTAAGATTTACACAATTTGTCAAGTATTAAGGTAATGTAAAAAGAACGCAAATGGTGAATAATTTTAATTAAAACAGAAACTTTTTTTTGTATCTTGCATATGCGGTTCAAATAATTAATCTTCAAGTAGAATTGGAATTGTGCTATTTTTATTAGCATATTTGGAAAATAAGACTAAATATAAATTAGTGGTATTAAGCCGCATTGAAAACAAAAACAAATAAACATATTTTAGTCCCTAAATACATATAACATAGTATATTCATAAGGTAAATAAGAATCTTAAACAAGGTAAGGCAGAGGTAGCCTTTTTTCCTAAGTTAATATAAGGTACCAAAGAATTGTACCTACAAGTATTTAGTACGCCCCACACTGGAAACATCCTAATATTAATATATATTTCCTTGTTTACAGGTCTTAAAAAAAGGCACAACTGCGAAAAATCTTGTAAAACCTTTTTAATGGAATTTTTATATCTATTTTGAAGTACAACTTTTATGAGTGTAGTTATTTATGCGTAGTTGTCTATGCATGTCTCTTTCAAGCTATGTTTTGTTGACCGATGCTTCGGCTCAATTTGTTTTGTCGAATTGCAACATTATATTTGTGGTCTTTGTTTGACTTCAATGGTGCCCCGATTTTTTTTAAATTTTTCTATGTCCGTCGGCATTAGTCAAGAGTCCGTAGTTTGTTACACGAGCTTAAGACATGCTCGACCCATAGTACTTTGTTATTTGCTCGCCCTCACGTAGTTTGTTTTTGATTTTGGTTTATTAATTGTTTGAGCTGTTGGCGAATTGGGCGTGGATTTTAAAATATTTGAATTTATATTGAATAAAATCTAAATAAAAAAATAAACCAACATTTTAATGATGTCTACAAAAAACTATCCAGATTTACGGTGCATGTTATTATTTGCATGTCTCTAAAATATTTGCGGCTACTCTCCATATTGTGAGTGAGGGCCTGAGCCCAAATCAAACTCTAAGCCCAAAACCAGACCCTGAAACTACAATTAATTAGTAACAGTTCTCTTTAGAGCCCGCAGTATCACTACCGAAAATGTAAAGCCCCTGGAATGCTCAAGCCTAATTAAGTCGCGGCGCCAGACAAACGTAAGGTAAAACGAGAATTTTAAGTCTTCAGAGCCGAGAGCCGAAGTCCGAAGCTTCTGTCGGTTTTTCTGCGACTGCGCGCTTACTCTGGGCAGAGTAGCCAAGATCAAGATCCGCACCAAGCGAAAGTGAGCATGCGGAGAGCACGAGCGTTAACGCCGTCGTCGGCGCCGCGTCAGGCGTTGACTCATCTGCCAGCGCAGGCTGCGCTGCGGCTGCGGCATCCAGTGATTCACTTGTTCGCATCTTCGGTGGCTAAAGCTGAGGCTTCTGATGCAGACGTCGGCTGCGAAGCCACTGCGACGCTTTGCGGCTGACTTTACCGGGCACATATAAAACAAACGATCTTGGCTAAATATTCACAATCATATTCAAGTTGTTCATTCGCGCGTTCGAGTTCAAGCCCGAGAAAATTTGACATATTTTTAGTGTAAGAAACTGCCGCTTTAAACAAATTGATCACCGCGAAATTGGTTACTCGTGGGCCATATCCGGAAAGGGATAAGAACAGTATAACCAGCAGGTGGTCAAGTGAAAATTTAAAGGACATCTGGGATACATCCTTTTGTCTAAGGCTCACAGGCCAACGGCAACATACAACCGTAAATGCTTCAATACGTACAGGCCAATTGGGCTGTGGGCTGGAAGCTAAAAGATGTGCAGCCGCAGTCTTTTGCAGCTGGAAATTAAATTCATTTGCGGTTGATTGATTGATGGATAGTTCCATTGATTCGGTTTCAGTTGTTGCTGCTCCGAGGTTGACGAGTCCCTATCTCTGTCCATCCGTCCGTTAGTCTGTACAGCCATTTCGTGTTCGGTTTTAGTTGCCACTGTGCATTGTGCTTAGATGGTGGAAATTTATTTGTTGCTGATGCGATCTGAACTTTGCGGTTTGTTGTTTGGTACTATGTTTTGTTGAACTGTTGCCAAATGTGCCAAGCCAAAACTTTGCAGTTTTAATTTATGTGAAAAGCGCCCACGGAAATGCAGCGGTAACGGCAGCCAACATGCAACTGAGGGGCACCAGAACCACAATTTCCAAATCACCATCATCGAAACCAAATTAACATATATTAATAAGCCAGTTAGGTGGAAGAGCTTAATGGAATTAAAACATTTGAGTTTTGACTTACCGCAGTATCTTTTTTTGCTATTGCTATTTGGGTACACCGAGAAAAGTATGTCAATAAAATGTTTGTTATGACCGCGAGCAAATGTCATGATTCTAAGGTCACGAAATAGAAAGTATGAATTCCAAGAAATTTCTAAATTAAAAAAAAGAATACTCATTCAAATTAACCGAATAGTCCGAAAATATTTTATGCAAATTTTGCTTGGGTAAAAACCAGCAATTTGATTTGTTTATACACACACACTTAAATTTTGACGTCTAATTTTTTTGTTTTTTGCTTAGGATTAGAGCGGCTTTTTGACTATTTTTAGCGTTGAGTCATGTCGAACGCATCCCGTATTTTGACTCAATGATCGATTTGTCGATAGAATGAAATGCAAATCTAGCTCTTTGTTGATTTACGGTTCAAAAATCAGTGACTCAATTAGCGTTATAGTCTCCCAAGCGAATTGAGCCTATCCGGAAATGATCTGGGCTGGAGCTCCCAGTTTCGTTTATACTGTTTGGTACTGTTATAGGCTAACGTATTAGTTGTTCAATTAGACAACCGCCGGAGGGCAGTTACTTTCCTAGCATCTATGAAAAATTGTTATGCAGCTGTTTAAAACAAATTTTTTCAAATATAGAATGTGGGACGCCAAGACGGGTTGCCATAGAAGCAACTACCGGCACCAGAGACTAAGACTTAAAAATTTCTCCTCGAAGCTAACGGACTGTCTCGCCGTCTTTACATATCTAGGTGACAGTCTATCTCAGCATATGGACTTGTATGGCACTCGCACGATCCCCTTGTAATCTTATGTCATGAAACAGTGTTTGAATTTAGATGATGACGATATAGCGCCGACTTTGAATCTTATACGGTCATTAATTTCGAGACATCCGTATTTGTTTAATTATATTTCGTTTTCTGTTTTCTGATTCCCCCAGTTTTTCAGACCTAGATCCAGAGTGTTGGATAGCTATGACTATTGCTCAGTTTTGGAATCAGCTTGCCTTATGTATTACTCTGGCAGTGCTGGCTTTGGCCGACTACCACGAAAACATGTTCCTTAACGGCCAGTACCAAAATGGCATCAAGGAACACCCGGAGACCCACCATTCAGTCAACCCCTCGTCGAACGTCTTTCTTAACCACGCAATCATCAGTAGGCAAGCGTCGCCATTTCAAGGACCCACCTATCTGCCGCCCAAGGAGAACCTAAAGTGCGCCGCCGGCCAGCAGTGCGTACGTCAGAGTCAGTGCCTGGACGGAATCTTCTCTCAAAAGTTGCCTAGGATACAAGTAAGTTCCTGACTATTAACAGAGCTCTAAATTTACAATTAAACTCTCAGGCGTCCATTTATTCAGTCGTCTATTGCATAACGGGATATTGATTTAAGGTTTTCCCGGGACAGAAAACAATATAAACGTTTCACAAGCGACCGCTGTCCCCCAATCCGATCCATCCGCTCAGATCCGTTCAAGCCAGATGAAGACCTAAATCAAAAATTAAAAGCTCGTCTGCAGCAACAAAGCGCAAAACATTACGGTCGTTGTTGTTGCTCGATTAGCTTGCCTGATCTGCATTTTTTGTATGGCCAAGCGCTTGTTTTTGCTTCTGACGTTGTTGTAAATGTGGTTGGATTGAGTTGATTTGTTTGGCACAGTTAACGTTATTTTCCGGTTTGTCATTACCGGGTCCGAAATACCAGACCACATATGTGCTGGCCAGACCATAGCTTTGGGGAATTTCGTAATCCTACAAAGTGAAATAAAAAGCGAAGTTCATGTTTAATTGGTCGTGGGCATATAAATAGATATACATATATATATACACAAATATATATATATATGAAAGTCGCAATAAAAATTAAAAGTCGTAGATGATTTGCATATTTGTTAGTTGAATCTACGCGCCTATATATAAATTAAATAATCCATACCAGGGTATGCTTCACCGCAAGTCCTCTACCGGTACACCACTGCTTACGTAGAGAAGTTTTAATTGAGCTGGGAATTTCCCCTTTCATGTTAACTCTAATTATTTAGATCCAGTTAAATACTTTAAAAGCCGCGAACTCAAACTACTTCTCAAAAATCGAAATCAAAAAATATTAAAACAAGAAAGAAAGCAAACTTCGGCAAGCCGAAGTTCATATACCCTTGCAGCTATTGCATGAATTAAATACTTTTGAAAACATTTAAATTATGATTTACTTGAGTATATGCTGAAAAACATTGCAGCTATGATGATTTGCAGCTCAATTATTAGATAGTTATTTTATATATTTTTATAATTTATATGGGAGCTAGACGTCCGATTTTTATAAAATTTTAACCATAATTCTGAAATATTTAATCATTGCTATATGTCGAAGAACTGAACAAAAAATTAAAAAACAGAAAAGTTATAATTTTTTTTCATTTATTTTTCCGATTGTTCCTATGGGAGCTATATGCTATAGTCGTCCGATTTTAATGAAATTTAAACCGTAAATCGGATATATTTTACCATTACTAAATGCCGAAGAACTAAACAAAAAATTGAAAAACAGCAAAGTTATAATTTTTTTTCATTTATTTTTCCGATTGTTCCTATGGGAGCTATATGCTATAGTCGTCCGATTTTGATGAAATTTAAACCGTAAATCGGAAATATTTAACCATTACTTAACGTCGAAGAACTAAACAAAAAATTAAAAAACAACAAAGTTATAATTTTTTTTCATTTATTTTTCCAATTGTTCCTATGGGAGCTATATGCTATAGTCGTCCGATCTGGCTCGTTCCGACTTATATACTACCTGCAATAGAAAGACAACTTTTGGGAGAGTTTCATGCAGATAGCTTTAAAACTGAGAGACTAGTTTGCATATAAACGGACGGACAGACGGACGGACAGACGGACATGGCTAGATCGACTCTACTAGTGATGCTGATCAAGAATATATATACTTTATAGGGTCGGAGATGTCTCCTTCACTGCGTTGCAATCTTCTGACTGAAATTATAATACCCTCTGCAAGGGTATAAAAATCATTATGTGTTTATATTCCAGCAAATTAATATAATAACTCAAACCAACTTGACCAACTTACGCTACAGGAATAAAAACCTCCCTTCGAAATGCCCCCTGTGCAACAAAGACATAACAGACAAAGCCCATAAAATTAGTGTAATGGCTCATGGTGCTTGTTTGATTGCTCCTGTTCCCATTGATGTGGAAATGAGAATCATCGCCCATTATGATTTTGGTCGAAAAATCGTTCACCGCGATTATTCCGAAATTTTAAAATATCGCTTTTGATTTGGATAGCCTTTGAATCAATAACAAGCATTTCTTGATTACAGAAAAATTGTAATTGAAAATTGAGATATTTTCTGAATGTAAGCTTTAAAGAAAGTAGGAAAAAGACTTTTTTTTCTGACGACAACAGCATCAACAATTATTAAGTTTTTAAAGGCGAATTTGCCTTTGAGTTCTGTAGAGCCATATCCTTCTAAAATGGAAAACCCGCCTTTGACTTACAAACGCAACGCGAAAGAAAAACAACGGTAAAAGACGAAGTTAACTGTCTGTCGGACGACTTTGCCGAACGCTCAAATGGCATTCACCTCAGTAACGTCATTCATCAAGTTTTTCGCGCAGTGTATATGCCATTGACATCAATTTTTCCAATACCTTGATCAGGGTGAAAGCGCTTGCCGATCGGACGTCTATATCCTATGGCTCAAATAGGAACAATTGGATATAACGTGCAAGAATTGAAGATATTTCGCGCAGTGTAAAAGCTATTGACATGCAGCTTTAAAAGTCGTATTTTTTATGCATACCGTCTACATCATATAGCTCCAATAGGAACAATAGGGTGAAATCGGTTAAAATTCGATGTGTTTCAGGATATTTCGCGGAGTATGATATGCATTTTTCCAAATTGTATTTTTATGCAGACGTCAATATCCTATAGCTCCCAAAAATGCAACTTGGTGAAATCGCTTAAAATTTTATACTTTCGGGATATTTCGCGCAGTATATAAGCTATTGACGTGAATCTTCCCAAATCTTATTTTTTTATGCATATCTGATCAGGGTAAAAGGGCGTACCGATCAGACGTCTATATCCATAGCTCCCATAGGAATAATAGGGTGAAATCGGTCCAAATTTGATGTTTTCAGCATATTTCGCGCAGGCTATATGATTAAATTTTTCCAAGTCTTATTTTTTCCAAGTCTTATTTATTTACGTATACCTTAATCAGAGTAAAAGCGCTTGCCGATCGGACGTCTACATCTTATAGCTCCCATAAAAATAATTATTAAACATTTGTGATTCTTCTCGCTACTTTTGCAGTTTTAGCAATTTCGGCAAAGTCTACAAGGATATTACAACTTCGGCCGAAGTTAGCTTCCTTCCTCGTCATTTTTATATTTTTTAGAAAAATAAAATTATTTCTCAATAGATAGTATCAGATTCTAAGCCATTTCTGAAAATATATGTCATATATGTAATTTAATTTTTATTAACATGACTCGTCAGAGTTGACGAAACAGTCTTTGCGTTTATCGTTTATTCTTTGAGTGCGAGCATAGCCTATTGTTACAGCGTCACACTATAGCGCAGAATGACTGGTCTCAAAATAATTTTTCTTATATTTCTTGTTTTAGGAAATATTATTTCTCAAAATAGAAATAATATTTCTTGGTTTAATAGTAATAATTCAATGCATTGCAAACTTTTGACTGAAAATATTATACCCTCCGCAAGGGTATACAAATTGCAAAGCATAAAACTTTGTACTGGTAGTTTTTTGTTTATGAGGATTATAAAAAATCAAGACTCAATTATTAATAAATTAGTTAATAAGAACATAAAAACAATAAAATAAAAATAAATTGTTTTTATTTTTAATAACACATTTTTTCTTTAATATATTCAATTTGTTTGTTTAATGAAAGCTTTTACCAATCAAAAGTTATGAAATCAAGAGTTTCCGACCCTATAAGTATATATATTCTTGATCAGGATCAATAGCCAATCTTCATGTCTGCCCGACTGTCCTTCGGATTTGGGGTTTGAAATTCAGATTCTAGTAATTCTTACGCTGCGCTTATTTATTTTAAAACAGGGCACGCCCAAAATAACGCCTACAAGCAAAGCCGAAAAAGCTGCACAATAAAATCAGCCTTGTTACTTAACAAATCCAAAGCAGCGTGCCGTTCACGAAATTAATTAAATCAAAACAATGATAATTTTTTTAGTAAAATAAATAATAATCGTCACAAAATTTAATATCATAAATTGTTTGAGTGGAAGGTACGATTGTCACTATATTCTTACCTCGTCAAGATTTGTTTTTTTCCTTTTCTTCCGTTCCTTTTGTTGATGCCCTAGCCATTTCTTTGTCGCCGCTGCAACTTGCTAAAAGTCGAAAGTTAATATGTGGCGTTTTGTTAATTGTGTTTTGGCCCATCTTTCAACATTTTGCATTCGTTTAAAAATCGGTAGATAGTGATCATTTGAACTCCATCGAATTTACTCCCTTTCGTCGTCACAATTTTCGATAAATGTTTTAAGTTCATTGTGACGTTCCTACTAGAGTTAACCAAGTTTCGCGTTTCGTTTTAATACAAAAAAGTAATACATTTTCATGGTGATCCAGGATTCACTTATAATTCGAAATATATTTATGTATGTCAGAATTGTAAATGTCAGTACGCTAAATTTTTAATCGGGTGTACGACAATGATAGTTTAATTCTTTTTTGACAACATATCGACACTTTTTTATATCCTTGCAGAGGGTATTATAATTTCAGTCAGAAGTTTGCAACGCAGTGAAGGAGACATCTCCGACCCTATAAAGTATATATATTCTTGATCAGCATCACTGGGCGAGTCGATCTAGCCATGTCCGTCTGTCCGTCCGTCTGTCCGTCCGTCTGTCCGTCCGTCTGTCCGTTCGTCTGTCCGTCCGTCTGTCCGTCCGTCTGTCCGTCCGTTTCTACGCAAACTAGTCTCTCAGTTTTAAAGCTATTTGCATGAAACTTTCCCAAAAGTTGTCTTTCTATAGCGTGTTATATATAATTCGGAACGAGCACTATCGGACGACTATAGCATATAGCTCCCATAGGAATAATCGGAAAAAAAACACAAAAAAAATTATAACTTTGCTGTTTTTTTATTTTTCTACTAGTTCTTGGACATATAGTAATGGTTAAATATTTCAGAATTACGTTTTAAATTTCATCAAAATCTGACGGCTATATCATATAGCTACCATAGGAACAATCGGAAAAAATAT